TATGCTGTGCTCCTGTTCTAGCTGCCCCAGATCTCTTGCGGCCGTTTAAACTGGAGGTCGACGCCAGCCACGCCGGTGCAGGAGCTGTTCTGATCCAGGAGGATTCTAACAGGCTTGATCACCCTGTTTGTTATTTTTCCCGGAAGTTCAACCAGGTGCAGCTACACTACTGTACCATCGAAAAGGAAATGTTGGCACTCATCTGGGCTCTACAGCATTTCCATGTTTACGTTGGAAATGGTAAATTCACTACTGTTTTCACAGACCATACGTTGGTATTCCTGAACCGGATGTACAACCACAACCAGAGGCTGATGAGATGGGCGTTGCTGCTACAGGAATTCCCCCTTGAGATCCAGCACAGGAAGGGGTCGGACGTCATCGCAGATGCTCTGTCCCGTAGCTTTGATGAGGCTCCCTTGTTGGCTTATGATTCCCACTCCTTTGGGTGGGGGTCCGTTTTTGTTTTGTTAGTGTTGGAAACAACAAAGGGTTGTGTTGTCTGTGTAACAGACATCTCAGAAACACTCAGAAGAGTTGGGGCTCAGCACCAGCTGATAATTTGTGTTTAATTCGCCCACCTGTAAGTTTCCATGAAGACCAGGGTGAGTTAGCTAGCTTTGGTTTTAGTTAGCAGGAGTCCTCATATTTTAACAAATATCTGCCTTGTTTGTTAAACACCCCCTTTATTTGTTTTCTTAAGGGGTGGGATGTTACGTATGCTCCCCTATTTGGGCCACTAGATGGCCTCAGTGGCTCCTGCCTCACCTGTCCCTTCCACCAGATGACCAGCTGTGGGTGATTCCCAATCACTCACCAGCTGATAAAAGCCTGTCACCCTGCCCAAAACGGGGAGAAGGTTCAAGGAAGAGTGGGCACGAAAGTGTTCGCTTGGCTCTCTTCTCCTCCTGCGCTCGATTATTGTTAGCTTTGTGGTAAACTCGATACTTGGATTGTATTTTGGGCGTTGGGCTCAGTATTGCCCTGAGCGACCCTGCTTATCAGGCCTGCTCCCGTTTTCGTTAAGGATATTAGCTAGAGTATTTCGATTAATATTCCCAGCCCCTTATGGGCTGGCGCTTTCTGTTAAAATCCATTTTGTTTGTATATAGCTCCTTTTGTTTTCGTGTGTATATATTTAGTCTTTCGTTTTACTGTAAATATCTTTTAGTCCATTATTTTGTAAAAAAAATCCTTTGTTCAGCGACACTTTACTTTGTTATTATCAACCACGCACTCTAATTTTTATTACTCCCTCCACCACATCACTCCAAAACGAGCTGATGGACGTAATAGTTGTGTGTGTGGTTTCAGCTGTAGTAGAAAGGTTTGCAAAAGTTTACAGAAAAAAAATATACACTCCCTTCCAGAAACTACATGGACAATAAGGCCAGTTCCCTTATTCCTCCTGTTGACAGCAAAAGATGAGTAAGAGAATAGAAATCAACATGGCAGCTTTCATTTTCAGGTATTTCCCTCTGGATCTGATACACAGCTTAGAGTGTAATGAACACTGATTTCTTTTTCTTTCTTTTTTTGAGCAAAAGTGATGGAATTTAATGAATGTCTAGTCACAAATAATTTTCTTGCAATGACTTTATCAAGCCTGTGACCAACTGACATCACCAATCTTTAGCATTTTTTGTTTGTGATGCTTTTCAAGTACACAAAAATGCATCTTCTACCTTCTGGTCTGAAGGTTAGTGTGGCCAGTCTAGAATCTACCAGTTGTCTCTGATAACTTCCTTTGTTATTTGGTCTTTTGCATCATTGTCTAGCCGCATTGTGAAGAATCTCAAAATCAATTTAGTTTAATATTTTTCTTTAATTAACAGACTAAATGTCTCTGTAGATGTATGGGTTAATTGTGCTGCTTCCATTACAAATCACATTAGCTATGTTTCCACTGTAAGAGTTCTGGGAAATCTCTGGGAGGGGGGAAATTGACCTGGAGATACGATGGCTTGGTCCTCATACAAAATGAGCCCTGTCAGGACTTTGCTAAGATGTCAGCATACCGTTACTGCTTTGGCAGTGAGTGATGTCTCTACTCAGTGCTAAAAAGCATCCATGGACATGAATAACATTAAAAGTTTTATTCTGTAAAATTATGCTGTAATCCGATTTTTCATTCGAGGGACTGGGAAAGCTGCTGTGATGTTAAATGTGGAGCTCAATGACCAGAAGAAGCATTGTTTCTTACGGTGTTCTGTGAGACAGTGAAGCCCAATGAATTATGCTGGGGGTTCTGTAGGATTTTTGAGTTTAGTAACTGTGATTGTAAAGCAGCGCAAATGCTGCTTTTTTCCTTTTCTTGTATCGCGCTTCAGCAACTCTCCCAATTATAAAAATACCAGTTATTTGGCGACGTCTGCCAATTTCATTTCCTACTGATTTACAACCAATCAGCATGAGTTAATCCAAAGTCCCAGTCAGCGGCTCTACCGGACCATTCCATTACAAGCCTCAGGTCAGGCGGTTCATGGAAATGGCCCCAAAAAAGGTCCTTCTGGCTACTAAAGTGGAGCATGCCTCAGTGTTTCGGTAAAATGACCCTGAAGTTTCGATAGTGAAAACACATTTATTAATGGAGGTTAAGGAGAGCTTCCCAGAAGAAGCATCACAAGCCCACAACATGACACTATGCCAGCTGTTTCGCGTTAGAGCTTTTATGGCTGCAATGTTTCTCCAAACCTCAGCTCTTCCATAACTTTAGTAAAGGTTCATCTTTGTCTCATCTGTCCCTGTTTAATAATAAAAGAATAATGTTCTCGCTGTATATTGCCTCTTGGCGCAGTCTTTCATAAGCATGGCATCTCGTATCACTTCTTTGCGGACGATGTGCAGATATATGTCCCACTACATTCTCGAAGGCCATCATTTGACAAATTACCGAATTGTCTAAAAGATGTTAAAAACTGGCTACAATTGAACCTTCTCACTTTAAATGACAAAAAGATGGAAATGGTCGTTTTTGGGGACCCTAGGCTGTTGCACGGGGTAAACAGTGTATTTGGCCCTGTAGAATCCTTTTGTGTGTCTCAGGCAAGAAACCTGGGTTTTTTCATTGATGGCCATTTTAGGCTTGATAAACAGATAAGTTCTGTGGTCCAGAGTGTGTTCTTTCATTCGTGTGTTCTTAGTAAGGTCAAGCCCTATTTACCATTCAAAGATGTTGAAAAGGTTATACACCTGCTAATCATGTCAAGACTAGACTACTGCAACTCTCTATATCATGGACCGGCGCAGTCGTCAATTCACCGCTTGCAGGTGGCTCAGAATGCAGCAGCTCGCTTGCTGACAGGTAGGAGGCGCAGGGATCACATAACACCGGTCTTACAAGCTCTTCACTGGCTCCCAATCACTTACAGGATTCAATTTAAAATGCTACTGATCTGTTTTAAGGCACTACACAATTTGGCCCCTCCTTATCTGTCGGAACTTTTAAACACTCATGCCCCCAAACGAAACCTCCGATCATCCTCTCTACATCTATTATCTGTTCCCAAGTCTAGGCTGAGGTGACAGAGCCTTTTCTGTGGCCGCTCCCAAGCTCTGGAACAGCCTTCCCCTACAGATTAGGTCTGCTAACAGCCTTTCTGCTTTTAAGTCTCTTTTAAAAACCTACCTTTTTACCCTTGTTAATTTTAGGGTCTAATGGAAGGCTTTCAGTGTTTTATCATTTTATTTTTACTGCTTGTCTGTGTACAGCACTTTGCGCAGTCTCTGATTGTTGGAAATGTGCTATATAAATAAACTTGACATTGACATTGATGTTTAAAACGAAATATCATCTTTTTACCCTGTGGTGAATTCCAGATTAGCCTCGCTATTCTTCTTGCTAATAGTTTACGTCTTCTGGTGTAACCTCTACTTAAGTTGAAGAATTGCTGATTGCACCAACAGTTCTTTAAAGGTTTCCCTTTAATTCTCACGTTTCTGTCATCATCTGCTGGTGTTTTCCTTGGTCCAGTTTGACATGCTCACCAGTGGTTTCTCTCTTGTTCAGGAAATTCCATGTGGTTGTGCTGACTATATGACTAGTGTTTGTGCAATGGCTCCAGTTGGTTTTCCATCTTCTCTTGGCTTTTGTTGTGTCAGTTACACCTCTGACTATGATTACTGCACAGATATACTGCACAAATCCATTCTTTACCATTTATTGTTTGAATAATCAATGAACAATCCATTGCCGCCCCCCAAATAATGCTTTACTCTTAGTTGTGCATCAGACACCGATGTAAATACCTGAAAATAAACGCTGAAATTTTCTTCTTTGGATGTTAAGACTTGTTGTTTTCAGTCAACAGCAAAATGTAGGAGTTGGCCTCATTTGAATGCTTTTGGAGTGGGAGTGTACATTATTGTAAAACAGAGAAACAACTTGAGTTTCCTTTGATTTGAATTGTCTTACCTATTGTTTGTTTTGATGATATATGTGTTAGCAGTAGTTCTCAAATAACATTTCATTCATTTGTCAGAAATAGAGACAGACGGCCCAGCTGATGCATAAAATTTATACATACATATATATATATATATATATATATATATATATATATATATGTATACACATAATTGGCTTTAGATATCGGCCATCGGCAACTAAATTCTTTAAAAATCAGTATTGCCATTGGCCTTAAAAAACCAGATCGGCCGGCCTCTAGTCAGAAAACACAATCACACATTTTACAAGGCAGCTTGTCTAATATGAAAAATCATCTTGCTGAGTTGTTTTTTTCTTTTTCCAGTAAAGAAGCTTGTTGCTATGTGTAACTTATTATTGCTCCAGTGTGTGTGTCATGTGTTTACATCATCACTTAAAATCATGAAATAATCCTGCCACTCATTTTTGTTGCCCTCTTATCTAATGAAGAATTTGCAGCCAGGGCTTGGTTCTGTTCGCAATAGACCTTCAGAATCGCTTATCAGTCATACACGAGGAGGAAAACAATAACAGTAAGACATTAACTCGGTGTGTAAATGATTGAATGAGTCAGGGTGTCATCTTTGGGAAGGTGCTTGTTATGCTTGAAGAAATACACTTCAGACTTTGATCAGAACATGCTGGAGTGTACAGTGTGGATGTGAGGAGAGTCACAAGATTTCCTGTCAGGTGAAAGGCACACACAGGTGAGTGTCTTACATATTGAATTTTTAGTAAAAATGAGTATAATACTTGAAAGCATTGATCTGTTTTATGATGGTTATTAAATGTAACTTATATTGTGTGTTTTTATGGACAGTTTGTGATGGCAGCACCCCAGACGCCACCACTGGCTTCTGTGTTGCTTCTTGCCTTCTTCGTTCTCCATCCCTCCTCTTCCTTACCTCCCTGTCCACAATCCTGCATCTGTAAAAGCACTCTGCTGCTGAACTGCTCCTCGTCCAGTCTGTTCATGGTGCCGCGATTCCTCCAGTACTCTGTCGCTGAGCTGGACTTGTCTCACAACCTCCTCAGCTCTCTAGTGCTCCACCAGCCACATCCCAACCTCAGGAATGTGTGGCTAGGAAACAACAGCATCACGTATTTGTCTCTCTGCATTGAGACAAATCTTAAAGATCCACATCTTAGGCATCACTTAAGAACTCAGAGCAGAAATGGATGCCAAGTGTGGGGCCCCGCCCTGCAGCTGCTATCTGCTGAGAGGAATCTGCTGGAGCAGCTGCCAGAGGGTGAGTCAGTGTCATATAGTCATATACACGGACTAAACTTTTATCAAAGCTCATCTAGAGCATCGAGTCAGCCCAGTTTAAAAGATAACAATTACAGCTGCTCCCCATAAGGTGCCCCTTATTAAATGCTTTTCTTTTTTGTAAGATCAAAGCTGTTTAGAAAACTTTGATTTTGTGTAGAACTGGAAATGACAGGTTGTGATGAAAGTACCAATACTAATACTCTTGCTGAAGGATGGTTTGTGTGTGTAGTATTAGTGTTACTTCCATTTTTGGTTCTTTTTAAAACTCAGGAAAGGTTTCTCTTTACCTTGCTGACAGTTTTGTTTGCCGACTGCAAAACTTCCTCAGAAGCTTACGCTGATGGTGGCGTCACTTCCTACTCCGTTTATCAGCGGGCAGCAGAGGACGTTGGCGCCCTCTGCTGCCCGCTCTCCCCTCTCCGACGATGCAGTCCCATGCACGATCCAATGTGTAGACCCCATCGTCCCTGTTCATGGTCCCACATCCACGTCTCCTTATCTCTATAGCTTCCTTTATTCATCTTTTGTATTTCTGTTGTTCGGTGGTTATGATCCTTGTGTTGTCCCAGTCCATTACATGGTTTTCTCTTGTGCAGTGATCTGTTACGGCTGACTTCTTTATTGTGCTTTCTGCTTCTTGTTTTGCTGCTCTTGTGTGTTTTCGATTTGTTTCTCTCTCGTTCCCCTTTCTATGTTCTATTGTTTGTGTGTTGAGTTGGCGTCCGGTTTGTCCTACGTATGTTTTATTGCAGAGTTTGTATGGGATTTCGTACAGAGGGGAGAGTGGGCAGCAGATGGCGACAACGTCCTCTGCTGCCCACGGATAAACGGAGTAGGAAGTGACGCCACCATCAGCGTCAGCTCTGAGGAAGTTTTGCAGTCGGCAAACGAAACTGTCAGCAAGGTAAAGAGAAACCTTTCCTGTGTTTTAAAAAGAACCAAAAATGGAATTTGAAGCCAAACACAGAAAGAACGTACCAAAGATGTTTAAAGAAAAATACGGACAACAAGGAACAAAGGACTTCCGCCGTTTGGAACGTTTACATCAAAAACGCGCACGTCTAAAGGCTGATTCATACTGACACTGCTCCAGCATGTCGGATCTGTTGGATCGCCATGATGCGACGTCGTATGGGCGATCCAACACTGTTGGATCGTCGGTTGGAGTTGAGCTCTATTTTTTAAACACCCGACGGCCGCGTTGTATGCTGGACGTCTGTTATTGGTCAGCCAAACAACCCAACGTCATTTCCGGCACGACTTAGCTTCTCTTAAAAGATGTAAACAGCGCGAGCATTGACAATGGACGGACACTCCACCGACGCCTCTTCCTTCGTCGTTCTCGCTGTGCTCTTTCTAATAACAGTTGTTCCTCTAGCTCAAGCAGCTCCTGCTCAATAAAATAATTCGCTCTGTGTCTGTGTCGTCCATCTTTTCATGAGCGTATGTGCGTCGCAAGTAGTTAATAGTAGTAGGGCAGACACGTCACTACAAGAATATGCACACCTGCATAGGAGCGCGCCCTCTGTTGTTTTGGCGGATAATTTCTTTGCAACAGGGTCAGGCCAGTATGAATACAGAAGATACGACGCTGCAGCAGCGGGTGCACAAATGTGCCTTTGCTTAAGCATGAATCAGGCTTAAGGAAACACCTTTGCTTCAATTTAAGATGCCGGGATGAAAACATCACGCCAACAAGCCTACAGCTGAAAACACCGATCCGGACCAACACAGCACAGAACATAATGGAAAGAGCACAAAGGGCACTAATCAAGGAAAGGATAAGAAACGTCATAACCAAACAGAAGCAAGTGGAAAACGAACTGGAAAGAAGACACATGGACTTAAAAAGGAATAACAAACTAGATGAAAAAAACGGAGGAACTAATTAAAGGACACATGATGGAACAACAGGAAAAATAATTCATAAAAGTAAAAGAAGGACACATAAAGAAGTTAAACAAACTCATCAACAAGAAAAAGAGAAAAGAAATACAAGATAACACCACACCAAACTCATGGGTATGTAACCTTTCACAATACGAACTAGCAGAAGCAGAAGAGAGCATATTAAAGAAAGGTTTAAACTTTGCAGTCACACCAAAAGAAATACCATATGATGAATTTATTGTAGCAACAGAACTAGCATGCCAACAGATCACAGATGAGGGAAAGAAAGCAGAACTCAGAAATAACGTAGTTGGGATATTAAAAAACAGCAAAATTCAACACAACAATATTACAAAAGAAGAACAATCAGCCATGACAGCTTTATCCAAAAATGAACAGATAATTATTCTACCGGCAGATAAAGGAAGAACCACAGTGGTAAAGGACAGAGAAAAATATAAACAACAGATGAAACAGATGCTAGAAGACTAAAATACATATGTAATACTTAAAAAGGACCCAACAGAAAACATTAAGAAAAACATGAAAAAATTACTGAAGCCACTACAAGAAAAAGGCAAAACAACATAAAAAATGTATAAACACTGGATTCCTACAGCAAACATAACACCACGAATATATGGAACGCCAAAAATACACAAACAAAACACCACTTAGACCAATAGTTGACAGCATAGGTACACCAACATACAACATGGCAAGAGATATCAGCAAAATCATCAGCCCGTTATTAGGAAACACACATCAACACAGCAAAAATAGCAAAGAACTGGCCAAAGAACTAAAGGAAATTACAATAGAAGACAACGACATACTCATCTCACATGACGTCACATCTCTGTTCACAAAAACACCAACCCAGAGAACCATAGACATAGTAGTTAACAGAATCAGACAAGACAACACTTTACACAAATGAACAAACCTCACAGCAGATGACATAGCACGACTGATAGGACTGGTAGCTAACTCCACTTACTTCACATACAATGACACAATATACAAACAACTGGAAGGCTTCGCCATGGGTAACCCGTTATCAGCCACCCTGTGCGAGTTTTTCATGGAAGACCTGGAACAAAAAGCCATAGCCACCGCCCCCCCAAACTGCAAAATAAAACTATGGAAACGCTACGTAGACGACATACTGGAAATCATACCAAAAGGACAAACTGAAACACTAACACAACACTTGAATAACACTGACGACAAAGGCAATGTAAAGTTCACATATGAGTCAGAAACAGAAGGCAGGATAGCATTTATGGATATGAAAATCACCAGGCAGACCGACGGGACCCTAAACATAAACACATACAGGAAACCAACACACACAGACCAATATTTATTATGGACATCAGAACACCCCACCATACACAAAATGTCAGTAATCAGAACATTATATCACCGAGCAAACATGGTAACAGAAGAAAGAGACCGTAAACAAGAGGACAAACACATACAATACGCTTTAAAGACCTGCGGATACCCGACATGGGGAGTAAACAAAGGAAAACAACAAACAACAACAGAAAGCAAAGAACAACCAAAGCAAAGAACCAGAAACCCAGAAAGACAAGAACCAAAACCAGTGATAACCCTACCATACATCAGAGGCATAACAGAAAAAATAAGAGCAACAATGAAAAAACACGACATAAACACACCAACAAAGCCATACACAACAGCTAGAAACAGACTAGTACACCCAAAAGACAAAATATCAGCTGGACTTAAATGTGGAGTCGTTTACGAAATCCCACGCAAACTCTGCAATAAAATATACATAGGAGAACCCGGACGCCAACTCAACACACGAACAATAGAACATAGAAAGGAGTGTGAGAAAGAGGCAAGTCGTAAACACACAAGAGCAGCAAAAGAAGAAGCAGAAAGTACAATAAAGAAGTCAGCCGTAACAGATCACTGCACAAGAGAAAACCATGTAATGGACTGGGACAACACAAGGATCATAAACACCGAACAACAGAAATACAAAAGATGGATTAAAGAAAGCTATCGAGATAAGGAGACGTGGATGTGGGACCATGAACAGAGAAGATGGAGTTTACTCGTTGGATCACACATGGGACTGCATCGTAGGAGAGGGGAGAGCGGGCAGCAGAGGACATTGTCGCCCTCTGCTGCCCACGGATAAACAGAGTAGGAAGTGACGCCACCATCAGTGTCAGCTCCGAGGAAGTTTTGCAGTCGGCAAATGAAACTGTCAGCAAGGTAAAGAGAAAACCTTTCCTGTGTTTTAAAAAGAACCAAAAATGGAATTAGAAACTAGACACAGTAAGAACATACCAAAGATATTAGTATTAGTACTTTCATCACAACCTGCCATTTCCAGTCCCACACTAGTGCCCTCTGGAGGAGGAGCTACGGGTGGAGGGGGTCAGTTTTAGTAGTTTATTACAGTTATACTACTTGTGTAATATTATATAATTACTGTTATATTGCTGTATATTTATGTAATAAACTGATTATTATATTTTATCATTAGACAATTAACAGTTCAGCTTTTTTATTGTTTCATATTCCCTGCATTAAACGATCAATGACACATTTCAGGAGCACTTGAATTATTATCAATATTAGTAATAGTTGTAGTCATAATAGTTGTGACTTGGTGGTTGATCCTGAGTTTTAACCCCTTCAGTTCATGGGACAACTTTCCAGTGCCTTTCTCAATGTGAGGCTGAGAGGACTGTGAAATTTCTGTTGATGATTAATTGTCGTTGTCACGATGGTCGACTGGGTACGGGAGTTGAGCTTGGTAAAGATGTTTGACATCTGGATTATTCGGTAGAGAACTCTGATCATGGGTTTCAATGAAACGATGACTGAGTGAAGAGCCGGTGCGGCGTCTTCCATATATAGGCTTGGGTGTGACTGGGAGAATGCCGGGAGTTCCCGCGAGGAGCATGCTGGGAAATGTGGTCCAAGATGGAGGCCGGTTAGCTGGGAGAGGCCGGCCCGGGGGCTTGGGTTCTGACAGGACCCCCCCCCCCCCCCCCCGGTCCAGGGACGGCTCCAGAAGTCCCAGGGCGACCTCGGCGG